GTTTCTCACGGTGTTGTCGCTTGCAGATTTCTTATACTTTTTCTTCTACCCTGAAGATGGGGGCGATACGTTCCTCCGAAACGTCGGTTAACACCACATATACACGGTGCCAAATCCCAGAAGACTGCTTTCTTCATAGTCACCGCCGTGAAAGCCTCAAATATTTGCATATAGCTTCTCACATAAAGAGTTTAATTCCACTGTGGTAAACTATTTGCTTTTTTTTTGTGTCCTCGTTCAGACTATGCATAACTCAAGTACAAATCGGAGTGCTTTAACTATTAAAAGTATTGGACTGCTTATTCTTTAACCGTGACCACTGAATTACACTTCACTACATAAGAGATACTGCCTCACTCTCTGGACTCACTCCTCCTCTGGAAGCACATTTTCCTTTTTCCAGCAGTCTGTTACATCTGGGTCTATCAGTATCCCCCATGGGCACAAACAGGCTTGGTTCTAACAGTTTCAAACAACCATGAGCTCTCAGTTAACTCTGTTATCCTGAACTTAAAGTCATAGGGAGAAAGAACATGCAGTTACAGTGTGTAACTCTCATGTGGCATACGAATAAAGAATAAGTTCCATCAAGTGCAACAGACCTACTGGAGTGATAATGAGGAGAATATGTCATGTGCATATGTCATTGGCCAGTGGACTGCATCATAAGTCTGACTGTGCACAGCATTCGCTGACATGAATAGCACGTGTCCCTCCTGCCACACCTGCTGAAAGATATGCAGCAGGCTCTCAAATAACTTTCCTGGAGATTCAACTCTTACAGAATACTTTCTATTACCAGCAGCATTTAAATTTACATATCACTAGAACAGAATTATAGAATATAAACTGTCAAAATACGTCAACATTACAAAACATGTGAATACTTGGTATGGCTAGTAAGTTGTAACAGTCAAAACATATGTCAATTCTCTGCTCGAAAGAAAATGAAGAATGACAGCAACATGCAGGATAAAGATATCACAAAACAGAACTTACAGTGCTGGGAGAGATTCTAGGTGGAACCACTGGAGGAGCTCCAAGCAGACTTGCAGACTTTCCTAGGTGAGAAACAAGGCATGGAACATATTAGCATATATTGTAAAACAAGTAACCAGTCAATGTAACATACCCCTGATGTACTGTGATGCAGCAGCAGTACAGACAAACGAAATGTGGGAGAGGGGAAGATGGAAGAAGCAGAGAAGATTGAGAATTAATTATACACGCGTTCCATGACTAATTTTATGTATCTATACTGAAACATACTGCTGCATTATAGTTAACCTTTTTGAGCTTACAGGAATGTGTTATTCTGCAGTCATTCATAATGTTACTATATACTTGTTGGCACTACGCTGATGCAACATGTTTCAGTTGCCATGTGACCATTAGCAGTGATGTCTATGTAATATGGATTGAATTCACTTTATCAAGAGTTCTGGTTTATGTTCTGAGCTAAGAAGTACACTGTTGCCACATATGCACGTGGCCCAAGATGATGATAGCCTAACAAACATGCATGGATTTATATAGGTTATACTACCATCCAGCTACTTCTTTCATTTTAAACAACTGTGAATGGTAAAACCTTGCAATTGTAAAGGCTACTTAAATGAAATTGGCACCACATAAACCATCACTGAAAACTAAGAATTGCAGCTCAGGTTAATAACACAAATCAGTACTGTTACTTTCTTTAGAATCCATGTTCTTTTACTTGGACAGGACAGTCATTTTACTCATTTTATAAACCTTATAGCCATAGAGACATTTAGCAAAACAATGGTCTCAGAAACAGATCTCATCTGTAGGTCTGCTTTATAGTCTCATGTCACTTTACACTGCAGCAACATGGGTACTGCATTATATCTGCAGTTCAGGGTGGGAAACTAACAGACAAGAATCTTCAGCCTGAGGTAAATCTCAACATATACAACCATGTATCACAACTTGACTGATTATCAGGATCAGTACACGTACAGAACTGATAGTATCCATAACTTCAGTTGGTGTTTAGGCACCTGATACAACTGAGGAATTCAAAGAAGGTTACAAGTTCTGATGACTGAATGTATATTGTTACTATAGGATTCTGACAATGGTGTATAACACACTGATATATTGAGTCCAGTGATTGAGGCTAGCTCTTTCTAATGGACCCAACAGAACAGGTGTTTTCCTTCACCTGAGGACGGAAACAGATCCAGTTTCCGAAACGTCGTGTTTTTATTAGTTATCTTAAAAACCAGGACGATGGATAAAGTCCAAAAACCCAATATATCAGTATATTGTTAGTTTTCAGTTTTTTCTTTTCATGCATAGAAATGGCCATGCCTAAAGAAGGCAGTGCTGGCAAAATTAACGCATCTAACTGCTTAAAATGCTAAAATAAAAACAGTGGCCAGTTCCAGTCCAAACAACTTTCAAACTGTATATCCCAAATGCAGCAAAACAACAGTATTTGAGCATACTTAATATTCCTTTACCTGCCCCAACATGTATATACGAGGGTTGGAACTTTAACAGTAGCAACTATTTCTTTACAACTGATAGAAAATAGATGCATGTTTTGAAGTTTTACTGTCCTTCAATTTAGTCACCAGCATTGTGTACAATCTGCTGCCAGCGATGTGGAAGTCGTAGGATACCTTTAGCATCGCCTGTTGTGTTGATAGTTTGAATGGAGCGGTCTACTGCCTGAAGAATCTCTGGAACAGTTCTGAAGCAAATGCCATGAAGTGGTTCCTTCATCTTAGAAATCAAGTCAAAGTCACAGGGGCTTAAGTCCGGGTAGTATGGTGGATGGTACAGCACTTCCCAGCTCCACTGATCGAACAAATCAGCCACAGCTTGCCATTTCTGCATTTCCATCAAATCATGTGGAACCCATCGTGATGCAATTTTTCTCATGCCCAGGCATTCCTTCAGAATGTGAAGCACAGTCGTATGCGCTAATCCTGTCTCTTGGGCCAGCTCACGAATTGTATGGTGTCGATCACTCTCCAGGAACGTGGAAAGAGCATACACTTCTTCTTCACTGACACTAGGACGACCTGGCCGACACATGCCTGCCACATTCTGGCGTCCCTCGTTGAAGGCTTTTACCCACCTTGCCACTGTTCCATAAGGCAATGCAGATTCCCCGCAAGCCTTCTGAAGACCTTGATGAAACTGTCGTGCTGTACAGCCTCTGGCACATTCAATCTTTATCCAACTCCGTTGCTCCTGTTTCGAAAACATTGTGACAACACTACATTAGACTGCCAGCTAACACGAGGCTCTGTTCTTCTCGTCACTGTGCATGCGGGTGATGTAGGAAGGGAGAGTCCATTTGTGCCTCAGAATACATTCAGTCTCTGTTGAACATAGCCTTACTACCATCTTTTATTAAACATGGGACAGGATTTGCAGTTTTAAGGGCTCTGGGCCATTGAAAATATGGAGGCTCCTATTTGTAACAACAAATTCGCCCCCCCCCCCAGAAAAAAACTAAAAATACAAACTGTTTGTGATTTCTGAGATGTAATGTCTCAATAAAATGTGGAGGCCCCAGGGCAACTGCCCCGGTCACTCCCCTTTAAATCTGACCCTGGTTACACAAATACATAATCTTTTATTGATAGGTGCCCCAAGCCTACTTAACACTGTAAACTGCTGGAGACAGGAATGACCTGTTGGTTCAGTAACATTGTATACAGAATTAAAACATACAAAATCATCGAAGTGCCCACTGCAGTCTTATGATACTCACTGCCATTCAAGAGTAAACGAATGCAGTGGCTTCTTCACATCTAACATTTAAAAAATAGCAAATCTTATATAATGAACATGTAGAAGACATTAAATATGTATATAATTTTCCTGAAACAATGTATGCTTTATGAAATATTTCATTAGAACAATATGTTATAAAAACAATGATTATCCTGTATGTAAAATCTATGAAAATTACTCTTTTAACTTAAAATGCAGTGATATTACCCAATCGATTGAGATCCAAAGATGAACTTCTTGCATGTGTTCGGTATGGTCGAGGTGGGGGGGGTGGTGGGGGTTCCTTCTTGGGTCCCATTTGTGCTGCTACAACAGTCACAGGGAGACTTGTTGGACCAGACTGACCTCTGGGGAAAGAAAATGAATTAATTATTATACTGTGTTGTGCAAAAGGTGTCACATATTTCATGCTTCCAGCATATACATATTTTATATCCTATTCCTACGCACTTCATATTATGGACTATAAAGAGTAACGGTAAAAGTTCTATGGTTAGTATGTGTAGGCCAATTAATAGTTTCTGCCTCATGCACAGTTCTTGAACAATGCTACAGTACATTACTGACAGACTATCTGATGCTTATATTTATCTCTGCTACCTTTATTTTACTTTGATTAAAAATTAACATGACTTAAGCATTCAACCCCTTATTATCCATCCATATAGTGATAGCACATCTCCTTTCGTATCAACTGGTGACACTGAAAAGTTCAGTTATTTCCACACAAACTGCAGCTTCTGTTACACTCAAATTTTCATCAGGACAATGTACAAGCAACCTGATGAGAGGTTTTACCTACTACAAGCCATCCTCTGACCATTTCAATCAAGAACAGTTTGTATTTTCACTTCAGCAAGCAGTGGCAGACATTCATATATCAGGATTTCTACACTCTAATATACAGCAACCTGAGAATGGTAAAACTCATGACAGACCACAAATCACAGCTTTCTGTCATAAGCACAACAAAGCATTTGCCAAATTTTGTAGTCCATCTTAACATCTTACTTACTCATGGAGCTGAGCCCTTCTTGATGAGCCACCAATTCTGCAGCTACTCAAGAATTTCCCACCATTTTATGGAACCCGAAGGTTCATCACCGTGTTCACAAGAGCCCTCCACTGGTCCCTATCCTGAGCCAGATCTATCCAAGCCATACCATCCCNTGACCTGCCCACCTCATCCTCCTTGACTTGATCATTCTAATTATACTTGGAGAAGAGTACAAGTTATGAAGCTCTTCATTATGCAGTTTTCTCCAACCTCCTGTCACTTCATCTCTCTTTGGTCCAAATATTCTCCTCAACACCCTGTTCTCAAACACCCTCAGTCTATCTTCCTCCCTTAATGTCAGACACCAAGTTTCACACCCATACAGAACCACAGGCAAAATTATGGTTTTGTATATTCTAATTTTTTAGTTTTTGGACAACAGAGGAGAAGACAAAAGGTTCTGGACTGAATGGTAGCAAGCATTACCCGAGTTCAATCGCCTCTTAATTTCCTCCTGAATCAGGTTTCGATCTGTTATCGTTGTTCCCAAATATCTGAACTGTGCCACATTTTCAAAACATCTGTTTCCTATCTTTATGTCATGATTTTGCCCTGCATTTTGGTGATGAGACAGTAACAAAGCCTCAAATCTTACAACATATACTTAGTTTTCTCTGTGTTTACTTCTAGACCAACCTCTTTACTTGCATCAATTAAGGTTTGAGTGTTTTTCTTTATGGTATCTACATTATCACCCAGTAGATTCACATCATTGGCGTAGACCAACAGCTGATGTGTCCCATTTAGTTTCAGCCCCACCTGGCTTCCCTGGACCTTCCTAACCTTCTTAACATCTGTACAGTGGAAAAACTACTGAGCCTAGAAATGTCTTTGCATATATAGATATACACACACATACACAAACTGCAATGGTCTAAATGACTGACAGCCTCACAGCCTACATGGACTAAAGTGACCAAATTAGCAAAAAGCAATTCTATACATCTTGGAGAAATAAATAAACTGTTGGCTTCCATATGTATAATACAAACTCCGTCATAAATGCAACACTTTATCGTAGTTTTTGTCCCCTTCCTTTCACACTACATGTTTCAGCGGCAACCGGCCATCATCAGGTGTATTTTACTTCACGTTGGCTTCCACTAAGAAACAAGTACCCCACACACTCCACGCAAGAAACCGAATTCCAAGAGTCATGATTCTGTACTATATGTATGAGGAATAAGTCTGCTGCCAGAAAAGTGAAGTCTCCAAAACACAGGGCAATCCAGCCTGCCATGACAAAGTGTCATTACTTAAACAATGAATGCACAAGTCTCACACATCAAGCATTTTAACATAAGACAATGCAATATGATTCTTCACTCACCCTGTTGTGACTGCAGTTGCTATGATGGCTGCTCCTGACAACTCATCAGGTGTGGACAAAGTTGTGGGCTGGGGTGGAGGTGGAATGGCTCCAGGACCTGGTGCTACAAGAAAACCACTTCAAAGTCACATACAGATTATCATGGGAATCCTATGTATGACTGGGATATAACTTTATATATATTGTAATGTGTTTTGCCACTGAAGACGCCATTCAGATTGTTAATTGGTTTATTTAACAGCCTACAAATTGTAACTACAATTAATTATGACAATGTTGCGGGTTTACACACTTTACAAACCCTACTCACAAATCTCTTCGTACTATCATGATTCACTCATTACAACTGAACTCGGTGACTACTACAATTCAACTGTCTTTGGCGGCTGCTACATTTTAACTGACTCATTACTCTCTCTCCAGTAACTCTTATAAACCCTCAGTCGGACAGCAGAAAACCCACATGGCTTCACTGTTGCTTGACGTCATGTTTACCGATTGCCTAGCAACAGTCGTTGCACGGGCTCGCCTGTTGCGTGATGTCATAGCCTGGCGGGGAAGGGTGTTTACCCAGCGTTGCATAATGACAGGAGTGGGGGTACGTGACGTCTCTCGTGGAAACGCAGAGTTCACGTGACCCCTACTTCCTGTTGCGCCATCCACATCACAATGTTTACCCAAACAACTTCCTATACCTTTACACAAGCCTTTAACACCCAATGATACACAGAGAACATACAGAGTGATTATTGTGAAATGCAAACCAAATTCACTCCAATAATGTTTAAACTAAACTGGCTCTATGATGCATGATGGACACTGGTGGGGGTGAAACATAGTTCACAGTGTTGCCAAACAAGATTCCTCCACTGGCATAACATTATATAAGATCTGAGCTTTCAAGACTATGATTATCTTGACTACAATTTTGTGGAATGTGATACCATACCATTATAAACACACATCCCTGAAGATCATAATCTCAATGCACAACATTATATTATTCTTTTAATAAAATTATGGGTTGTAGCTATCTACGTACAATGAGTTTGTAATATTAGGACAGGGTCATGCTCCAGGCTAGTCCCACAAGCTCAGAACAGTTAACACCATCATCATATAACTCCTTATTACATACCTAATATGCCCATAGCAGTATTAAAATTACACATTTTTCCCCGCAAATTCTTCAAGCATCCAAGTGATGGTTGCGATGATAAATGCAGTAAATGTACATACAGTAAGACCTCACTGATTTGGACTAATTGGGAGCGAACGCTTGTCCTAACTAGTGAAAGTCTGAATTATGGAAATCCTACTGAAAATATATTCAGGGAAGTTATAATATGGACTTCAGGTGTCTTTTTAGGCAATACAACTTTATTCTGAAACTTGGATTGCATATCATGAAATAAATTTATTGCCATTAAAGGTACGAATGTATGTTTTGACATTAGCCTTAAAAACATGTGTGGTAGTCTACACACACTTAGTATTGTTAACTGTGTTTAAAAAATGAACTTACTTTGGCTTGTGTCCCTCTTTTGTACTGTTTTTTTCTTTTTACTACAACTTGCTAACTACAGCAATGTGATCAGAAATGTCATAATGTGAAAAAAAAAAAAAAATTGTCGAAATTATTACAAATTCTGAATTTGTGAGGTTTCACTGTACTTTCTAGGTCCATCATGCAATGAACTGCAAACAGGGGTCTGCAACTCCACATACATAAAGATGATATGGAAAGAATGTTCAAGAACTTCACCAAAAACAATGATCAATAGTGAGTGAACAGTGTGATCTTATTTTATTAAATGATGTTAATGACACCAGTGAATAACACTGATGCACTGCACAAGAATGTCATCTTTACAGAAAATTGTTTTAAGCAAATAAGAGAACCCATTCATTTGCACACCTGCTGGTTTCTTTGGTTGTGGTCGCTGAATTGGTCTAATATCTGATGCTGGGGTTACACTATTGTCCAGTGTCACTGTGGCCTTCTTGGGGCTTCCACCTTCTCCACTTAGTTGCTCATATGGTATCTGCTGAGGTTCCGTAACTTTGCGTGGTGAACGACAGGGTTCATCCTCTCCAGGAAGTAGCCCTTGGGATTCTGGAGTCAGGCGCAATGGCACAGGATGCAAAATCTTTGGATCCTAATTAAAAACACAATACCTCTTAATGATACCTAGGATCCCAAGTGCTTTTAAGTTTTCAGAAGTGTCAAAAATTAACGAAACTATCCACTTACCTGTTCTACTGCTGATTTATGGAAATCAAAGTTAACTGGCTTAGGGCCTGGTGAAGACATTGAACTAGTTGGGGAGTCTACAAATTTTGTCCACTGAAACAAATGTATTACACAAATAAGTGCCAATTATTACAAAAACTCTGATACAAATAAACTGTGAATACAACTCAGATTCAAACTTCCGGGAACATGATGGACAAAGTTAATCTACAATATTATGGCAACATATTTTAGAATGGTGCATTCCCTTATTTATAGCTTTATGTCAAAGGAATTTTAACTTTCATCTGTAGCCGTACCACCGACACCACCAGCTTTATTTGTAATCAAGATTTCTTTTTATAGCAATTACGCATAGGATGCAATAAGGAACATTCAAGGGTGACTTAGCCCAATTTTTGGTTTCAAGAATAGGGTCTGCTTCACTCCTACAAAGACAAGGCAGGAAGCACCCCGCAGAGTTTTCCTGGAAATTCAGTTTGAAAGTTGACCGGCGGGATCCTTTGGTAAAGTTACACTTGAGAGGTTTTGAATGCTGTAAGTCAAAAGTTGGAAGGCCCGCAACCCATGCTACTGGTATAATTTTTCAAGCAGCTGTCAAAAACTACGTTAGGACTTTAAGGTCCGAAGTCCCAAATTACAGCTAGGTGATTAGAGCAGTGAGAATTGCGGTTAACTCGCTAAATTCGAATTGTTCCAATCAGCTGAAATTAGGGTAGTAACTTGGAGACGGAGCTGAAGCTGTGAAGATTTCTTGCTTCAAAGCAGAGTGAGTCTGCTAAAAGGAGTCTCTGAAGAACTCTCCAAGTGTACAGCCAAAAAATTGGCATCACTGGCAGCTTGGTTCAAAAGTCAAAGTTAAAAACAAAATTATGTTTAAGTGTGTGACTGGAACAATCTCTGAATAACTCAGCAAAATTAATTAGAAACAAAAATTAGTGTGAATCTTAATTTGGCTTAAAAGTTTAAGCGAAAGTGTAATCACTTCTAAGTGTTGTGCTAAAAATCAGTCGCTAAATAACTAGCCGGAGATCCGGTCACAAAAATTTGAGTGATTTCAAGTTTGATTAAGTAAGGACAAAGGTTATTAACTGAATATTAAAAAGTGCTCATTAAACTGTGTAGTGTAGTGCATAGCTATACACACTCTTATCTTTCCCACTAATGCGAGGCCTGTATGCACCCTGAGACAGAATTTCTTCGCTCTAGTGCGATGCAGTACCTATCACCTGTAGTTTCCGGTTCAGCCCCCCTTTTCCCTGAAAAGTAAGCCTTTATAATAAGCTTACTGGCACCCAGCGTTCATGTAACCCATATCCCACATACAACCAATATCCACAACAACAAAAAGGGGAAGAACAGGAAAAGAAGGACACAGCAGCAACCTGCACATTCGGAGTACCAACAGGTGAGAGGGAATGGCTAGAAGAGAAGATGCAACCCACAATGCAGGGGCCAAAGGACGGTTAGAGAAGAGGTGGTGCCAAACGTGTAGGCAAAACGGTTAGACATCATTATCATACCTTTCCCAGTTTATATCTGTCACCACTTCAATTTTCACTTTTCCAAGTACTGTTATCAAACCAAAAGTAAATCTTTATTTTCTGCTATGATCCTATGGATAATTTATCAACATCTAACAAAATGACCTTAACCAAAGTCAAACATTTTTCATCATAAAGAACAGATCAGGATCACACGTATAACAGTACCAGTGATAATTTCCCTTCAGAACATAGAAGTGCTTTGTGGCTACTTTTGATCGTAGGGAATAAATATGTACAAAGGTATGACAGCCTCTAATGATACAATTCTTATATCAAGTTTAATTAAAAATTATGTTTTAAAATATTAACAGACACGTCTGAGTCTATGTACAGCATAATTGTTTTGATTTGTATTCACTATTGAACATTTAGTTCAGTAATGCTGAACTGTTGTCTAGTAGTGCAACTGTGGCTTTCTTCCATCTGGTTCTCCACCAATAATTTGAAGTTTCTGTAATAACTGTCATAATATATACCATGGTATTCTATTTTCTTCCTCTCACACAGATGAACGTGAATACGATGCAACGCGTGATAAGATTATAACCACCAAACATTGCCACCTTTATTTAGGAACATGGTCTCCATAAATTACTTAAATTTAATCAAAATTATTAGCCATATTTCAGAAAATCACCATTACATGTTTTGTGATCCAACTGAAGGGCACCGTTTTTTGAGCTGGAAGGTTCATACCCACCATGCATTGATCCATGATAGATAAACTGTGAAATACTGAACATGAATAAAATTTGTCATACTGTTCAGGCACTAGTGAGATGTGCCCCCTCCCCTTGCCCAAACATGCATGCGCACACAACCAACAGTCATGTCTTCATATGTAGGTAGACTTGGAACATGCAGATCAAAATCTTGAGGTAAATTTTTCACCATCACAATACTTCATTTTCTTTTAAAGTTGGTTATTTAATAACACTGCCAGTATCAAGAATGTATATAATCAATACTTTCTTGTATATGAGTAAGTAAAAAGCATGTGATTTAAACATGACAGTTGTGAAAACACATTGCAATGCATCAGAGAAAAACATACTATGAGGATGTGAACTGGACTAAAGTGGCTCAGCATTAGATCTAATGTTGTGATTTTGTGCCACAAATTCTGAAGCTTCAGGTTCCATTACCAAAAAATTATGTATGCAAGTTCAATACTGTGGATTCTTAACCATCCTTACCTCCTTGCTTCTGGGTGGAGATGCCGGCTCTCCACCTGGAGGAGACAGACTTGGAGGGCTTTCCTCTCTACTGGGTGGCTCTGCTGGTGCAACAGTTACCTGACTTTGACGGAGTGGAACCAGGGAAGGAGGCAGAGTGTCTGGTAGATCAATGTTGTTTCTTCTTAACACTACCAAATGCATTGCTGTATTAAATTCATCAAGAGACAGAGCTCCATCTTTGGTGACATCTGCAAGTTGCCTGCAGAGAAACATTTATTTATTACCTAAATCTGTACACAATTATTGTTAGGTTCATTATACTGTAGATATGGATTCCACTCAAATAACATAAGACAGGCCTGAATGGCACCATTCTATTGTTGTGCTAATCAAACTTAGGTACATAATACCTGAAGGTGGGAATTTTCACGAAAGTAATTTGAAAACCATAGCAATGTGTTTTCTTATTTATTTATGTTTATGACTATCAATGAATCAGGGGTATCACCCCACAATATGAGATGGTACAGAACATATTTTGAATAGTGATTAACTTTTCTATTTATACTTGTTTATATGCAGTTTCTTACACATTATACCCTCTAGGATCTTGTGACTGCAGAAACTTTTCAATAGCCTCAATTTAAGACTGGAAAGTGTACTCCTTGATGCAGTATTCAAGATATTCTCAACAGCATTATGTGTAGTTCATTTTATTAAGTTTGCTTGTGACCACTTTATAAAAGGCTTGCAGCACAACACAAAGAGTGTTAGATAAAACGGGCAAAATTCATACTTGAACAGGATAAAAACACAAAATATATTATAAAATTACAGCAAAATCTGGGAAATAGTTTATTGAATACATGGAAAAATGTATTTATAGCCTTCTGTACAGTGGGCTTTTGACTGATCATATGGCCAAAAATCAACATGACTGACAAGAATTATACACAGATCTCATTATTAAATTTTACCATACTTTAATAAATGGTTTATAACATACATGAAGAGTGGGCTTTGTTATAGATCATTGTGGCTGAAAATTGGAACTGCTCAGCAACCTCTAGTGAAAGCCCTCCAATGCCAATTTTGAAAAAATCTGCTAGTTTAGACAAAGATACTAGTTCATGAACAGACACACCCTCCAAAGAAAATGTTCTTTTCCTATGTTTTCTTTTATTTCTGCTTTTAGAAAAGTCTAACAACTTCCATGGGGGGGAAAAGTAAATAATTTGTAAATGATGTATGAAATTTTCAATTCCATTTTTTCTTGGTGTGGATTTTCATTTCATATATGTGGTGCCATCAAAAAGTTCCCAAAATTTGACTTTTGCACACGAATGATTATGAGTACATCGAAATACCGCTAGGTGTCTCCTCACACACCCTTCTTGAATCTGTGTGGAAAGTGGCGTCGAGTTGAGTGGTTGGGTCTATTGTTGGTGAACGTATTTCCATTGTTGTGTTTCCGTGAGTTTGCGGTTTTGCGATAGCTGACCTCAGAGTAGCGTGTCTATATGAAGTTTTGTTTTAAACTTGGGAAAACTACTGCAGAAACGCACCAAATGTTGAAGCAAGCTTTTGGTGACAGTTTAGGCCAGATGCGAACTTACGACTGGTATAAGTGTTTCAAAAATGGCCGAACATCGACTGATGATGACGATTGTTCGGGACAGTCGTCATCTGGCATCACACAAGAAAATGTTGCAAAAGTTAGGGATCTGATTCTGCAAGATCATAGACTGACCATCCAAGACCTCTGTAACACCTTGGGACTAAGTTATGGTACATGTCAACGAATTTTTAGCCACGACTGCTGTAAAATGAACAGAAGCAGCATCACTTGGAAGTCTGCAGGGAACTTCAACAAGGGCTTCAAGAGGATCCAAACTTTTTTTTTGAAGGTTGTCACTGGTGACAAAAGTTGTGTTTCTGGCTACGACCCTGAAGGTAAGCAACAATTGTCGCAATGAAAGAGCCCTTCTTCACCTTGGCCAAAAAAAGCTCAACAAGTCAAGAGCAACATTAAGTCCACGTTGATCTGTTTCTTTGATATTGACGGGATTGTTCATAAGGAGTTCGTCCCTCCTGGTCAGACAGTCAATAAAGAGTTCTATCGCAATGTTCTAAAGCACTTGAAGGAGAACATGAGGAGAAAACGTCCAGAGAAGTGGCACACGAACGACTGGGTACTCCACCATGACAACACACGACTGCATACGGCTTACATTGCACAGGAATTTTTAGCTAAAAACAGGATGGCAGTTGCTCCCCACCCACTGTACTCGCCAGACTTAGCTCCATGCGACTTCTTTCTCTTCCCCAAGATGAAAATCAAGTTGAAGGGGCAAAGATTTGATACAGTTGAGGAAATTCAAGCAGAAACGCAGACAGTACTAAACACCCTAACAAAGAAAGACTTCTGGGATGCATTTGAAAAGTGGCAGAAACACTGGGATCGGTGTATGCGCTCCCAAGGGGACTACTGTGAAGGTGATGGTGCAGAATATCCAGGTAAGACGTAATAGTTTTTATTAATATATTTCGGGTACTTTTGGATAGCACCAGAATACTTCCTACCTAAATGAACTCTAAAGGGCAGAGTCCTTTGTGAGAAGCTGAGAGTCATTCAGCTAGTCAAGAAATTACTGCCTTTTATGGAATCTGAAGGTTCATTACAGATTCATGTGAACAGGACATTTCCACAAGATGAAATAGACAACACCACAAGTTTAAGCATAACGGACATTCCAGTCCAGCAAAACATATTCAAGCATAAGACTCCTCTAAGATACAACACATATTAGCTCATATATACAGGGTGTCCCAGGAGGAATGTGCCAAACTTCGGGAGGGTGTTCCTTATGTTAAAGTATGCCGATATAACCCAAAACACCTATGTCCAAAGTTGAACGGTTACGGAGATAATGGCCNTGCGTATAGGAAATTGGTGGGAAAGCCAGAAGGAAAGAAACCACTGGGAAGACCAAGGCATAGGTGGTTGGACAATGTTGAAATGGATCTTAGAGAGATAGGTTGGGATGGTACTGATCAGATTGATCTGGCTCAGGAGAGGGACCAGTGGAGGGCTCTTGTCAACACGATAATGAACCTTCGGGTTTGTGATTTTCTCAATTCTCATTTACCACAGAATCGCGGAAACCACAAACACCCATTTTCAGTGCCAAATTCGAAACCTCGTAAAACTTTGTTCTGATTTGGTTTGAAGTGTATATATATATATATATATATATAAAACCTTCTCACAATAGAAATATAAACCTGGCAGTTTCATTTGGAATGAGATCATAAAGAAGTAAAACAGTTATAATATGATACATCAAATTTGTTTTTTTACTGATTTTGGTTACAATTTGTCAATATACTCCCATTTATTACTGCAATCTGAAACGCTAGATGAGGTGCTTCTCATGAGCCAACAAACATATGAGCAATTCATGCCATAAAGATACAGAACTCAGAGATTTTAACAGCAATAGCTTCCTCAAACCAAAATGCATATTTTGACATCATTCTTTAAGGGACTAATATGAGAGATCCTTTGATAAGGTGTAACAACCTATTCTGTTAAAAAAAAATACAAACTTATGCTCTCTACTAGTTTATATACATCCTCAGGCACTGGATTCCCTACCTTGTATCAAATTATGACTGAAGAATGAGTTGGATCAAGCTTATGAAAATGTTCCTGCTACACTAAGATTTGTATCTTTGTACCTCACACAAATCCATGTGACCCCCAACTTCAGAACTATCCCAAGTATAGTAAATATCATTGATTAGGAGCATTGTGAATATATTGGCTAATATGAGACAACAGAGAAAATTGAATTTTGAAACTTGTACACTTGCTTTACAAAAAAATTTGAAATCTCAAAAACACACACACACACACAAAATATATTATATACCATATTTATCTGCATACAGGTCATTATCACACACAAATTATATCCCAGTATTTTAAAAAATTAGTACTTTAAATTTTCAGTCCACTTCCTTCCACCTTATGAATTACTCTTGTTTTTCATTCAGTATAGTTTCAAACTGTTTACGATTCATGTTCTTATGGCACCCTTTATTTTCAGAAATCTTCCCCTTCACTTTTCAAATTTACCCCAGTTGCAACAACATATTTGTCAGCAATAATGGAAGTAAAATGCATGCAGTCAGTATGAAGTGTTTTCAGGCTATCTTTATATAAAAGGCAAATGAATGTGTAAAACAAAATCATGCCTTAGCAACAGGAAAAAATTTTGTTATCAGTCAAGTATTTATAAGAGGCTGGAGACACCAGAACCTTTCTCACGAAAAATAACAGTTTGCATGATCATATTAGGCCTGAAAATGGAAGATTTCTGGAGGGCAAAAAAGCTCAGTCTTTTTATACATTAAGTACAAACCAACAAACGAAACTTCTGCACGAGCAGCATTAGTTTAAAGGTTGTGTACATCTAATATTTCTTGTACAAGTTCTTTGGGCTGTATACTTCTAATGCATTTTGTAAATATATTCTATTTTTGTAAGATATGAGTTGCTCATGGTGACATTAAGATTGCTGTCGACTGGGATTTGATGCCACATAGTCTGATAGGTAGATCCCAATATTTCAAATGAACCTGCTGCCACCATATTCATTACAGAAGAATGGAGGAGTCTACTACCCTGAAGATAGGGGCAGCAGTATCCTCTGGTACACTGATATCTATCTTCTAAAGCACATGGCATCACATTCCAGAATACTCTAATCTGTATGCTACTTTTGTCTGACATTCCACATTTCGAAATTAGCTTGCATATTTTGTGAGGTACTAATTTCACAATCATACAGCAAGGCACGCAGTAGTGTAGTTGGTTGACGTACTATGCTACAGGCCAGAAGGTCATGGGTTCGAGTCCTGAGGAGGTGGATTTTTTTTTTCCACTTTACCTAATCCTTCCAGCCACACTATGGCCCTGGAGGTGACTCAGCCTCTAACAGAGATGAGTACCAGGAATCTTTCTGGGGTGTAAAGGGCAGCTGGTGCGCAAGGCTGACAACCTCACTGCCATCTGTGAGCTGAATGTCTAGAGAAAATGTGGGAGCCTCAACATCTCACAACCCTACAGGCCTTCACGGCCTGTTATAGGGACAGCTTTACCTTTTTTTACCACAGCACTCCACAATTCACCAGCCTCTTCACTTCCCGCAACAGTGTTTCTGGACACAGCATAGTCACACAAATGAGTGGATAATACTTGTACACCAAGTATTGTATGCTGAGAAATAGTCAATTTCATGTACTCTCAACATTTCACAAATGACAACAGACTGATCTGAATATAACCACATCTTTATGTTTGGACTGAAACTTTGGAATAAAAAGTGTGACCTATATATGTGCAAAAACAGCACTTCAAATTAAAATCTCAAAATAACACAAAACTGGAAAATGTTACATAAATTGCATAATATTGCTGGATTTATGCTCCTATACTTATGCCTAAAATCTGTTAATGCTTCATTTCATATCTTACTTATCACAACACATACTTTACCTTTATATACACATAATTATCAAAATTACAATGCATATAGTGTATGCATGTATAAAGCAGATCAACTACTGATCAGATCTTTTGCATTCAAAAGATACTGGAAAGAAAATGGGAGTACAATGAGACAGTACATCAGCTATTCATAGACTTCAAGAAGGCCTATGATTCAGTTAGAAGGGAAATATTGTACAGTATTCTCATAGAGTCTGGGATACCCATGAAACTAGTTAGGCTGATTAAAATGTGTTTAAAGGAAATGTACAGGAAAGCCTGTATAGATTTTGCCTAATAATCTTCCCATCCACAATGGTATAAAACAAGGAGATGCTTTGTTGCCAATACTTTCCAACTTTGCTTTATAATGACATTAGGAAGGTCCAGGAAAACCAGGTGGGACTGAAATTAAATGGGACACATTAGCTGCTGGTCTAGGCTGATGATGTGAATCTACTGGGTGATTACATATCATCAAGAAAAACAAGAAACTTTAACTGATGCTAGTAAGGAGGTTGGTTGAGATGCAAACACATAGAAAACTTAAGTATATTCTGCTGTCTTGTCACAAGAATGCAGGGCAAAATCAGAAAATAAAGATAGCTAAGAGATGTTTTGAAAATGTGGCACAGTTCAGATATCTAGGAACAATAGTAATAAATCAAAACCTGATTCATGAGGGAATGAAGATTCATTTTGGGTTAGGCTTGCTACCATTCAGTCCTGAACCTTTTGCCTTCTTGTCTATCTTTAAAAACATAAAAACTGGACTATACAGAACTATAATTTTGCTTGTGGTTTTGCACGTGTGAGAAACTTGGTCTCTTACCATTAAGGGAGGGACTCAGATTTAGGGTGTTTGGGAAAAGGTGCTGAGGAGAATATTCGGACCAAAGAGGGAAAAACAGATAGAAGGTTGGAAAAAACTGCATAGTGAGGAACTTCATAACTTGTACTATTTCCCAAGTATAATTAGAATGATATAGTCAAGGAGCATGAGATGACAGGGCATGTAGGATGAATGGGGATAATATGAATACATGCAGGATACCGGTGAGAAAGCCAGAAGGCAAGAGACCACTAGGAAGACCAAGATGTAGGTGGGTGGATAATATTAAAATGGATCTTAGAGAGATAGGATGGGATGGTATGGATTGCATTGATCTGGCTCAGGATAGGGACCAGTGGAGGGCTCTTGCGAACATGGTGATGAACCTTTGGATTCTATAAAATGCTGGGAAGTTCTTAAGTAGCTGTACAATTGGTGGCTTCTCAAGAAGGGCCAGGCTCCCTGAAGTCAGGTAGTTATGTATCACGTACAATGCTGCAGTAAAGAAGTTATTAAATTGCAAAATATTACCATATTTTTCGAAGTTCCTGTACTGGCAAACGTGATTTCTCAAAGAACAGTCGAGCTGCAGGTCCAGCAATAAGTCCCGCTGGGTCTGGTTGAAGAGATCGAAACTGGGCTGTGTAGTAATCTCTCTGCTCTTCAGTAATGGTCCACACTTCCCCATCCCCATCAACATCCTCCTCACTGCTGTGACGATCCGAAGATTCCTCCTCAGTACCCAACAACTGTCGCTGTTCTTCACATACTACAAAAGAATAGTCAAGGAAAAGATAATCTCAAAAAATGTCTAAAAAGTGAAATGGGATCTCAGTCTCTTGGCCTATTTAAAAATGATATGGCAATTCTACCAATGAGGGGAGTGCATATCTCTCTCTTTCTGTGCATGCATGCACAAAAGGACATGACTAAATGCAAGTATTGGATTGGCAACTCTTAACTACAGATAACTGTAATAGTCTTATTGATCTACTCAATCTTTAAATAACTATGGTACACACCAAGTCTTCTCAGTTCGTTCTGTCTTCACTAGTCATTGCTTGATAGCACTTTTATCACTGAAAATTCTTCTTCTGTTGCTTCTGTGCTCTTGGCCAACCATTAACCATGAGTGCTATCTCACAACTGACTTCTTGCAACTAACTCGTCCTGCTGGTCCTCATGGCGTAGCCTCAGCACACACTGTACAAAGAACCCCACTTCCCATGGATCTTCTATGGTTGCAGGTACACCTGCTGCTGCAGAGGCATGTTTACCAAGCCACTGCCTAGCAATGGATGTCTATTTTAGTTCCACTATTCTACCTTCCAAGCATCATGTCAACATATATAAAACATTAACATTTTATCTTTATCACACAAATATATAAAAACATGATGCTTGAATTCACAATTGTTTATATTAACAACAGAATAAATGATTAAATCTCTCATTGAACTGGATTCTGTGGTCTAGTGGTCAGAGTTCCTGGCTACACATCCAGAGGTCCGGGTTCGATTCCCAGCGTTACCAGATTCTTTCTGAGAAGTAGTGGGTCTGGAACGGGGTCCACTCAGCCTCACGATGATAATTGAGGAGCTATTTCAAGGAAATAGTGGCTCTGGTCTAGAAAACTGAAATTAATGGTCGTGGGAGATTCGTTGTGCTGACCACGCAACACTCTCTATCCACTAGAGCTGGCACTAACTTCACCGATAAATGGTGGTCGCTTGGTTGGTATAGTTCATTTGTGGACTAAAACCACGGAGTTTGTTTTTTGTTTTTTCTTTGTTGAACTGGATTATAAATAACTCACCCAAACCATGCCAGTGCGTGGTAGCAGCCCAATTCCTTTCCTGGACACTGTTGGTTGGCGTAGGTGAGTCACTGGCTGTGCTAGAAGCTTCAGGTGATATCCCCTTTGGCTCAGGTTCACAAGTTGGTGACAAGGATCGTCCATTGGGATGCGGAGACTCTGCATAGGCTTCCACCCCTCCTTCACTATTTGGAACACTCCCAACTGGTTCATGCTGTATGCATGTCATAATATGCTTTTGCAAAACTTTATTATTATTATTATTATTATTATTCTATGATAGTAGAACTTAAATATTCAGTACCGCTAATGAAAAAGCCTATTACTGGACACGATCTTGAGCCTATTCCAGCCATCTCACAACCCTTCCCTAAGATCCAATTTAATATTCTCCTCTGGTTTTTGTCTTTGCCTTCCACATGGCTGTTCCCAAGATGGTTCCCCATCAAAATTTTCTATGCATTTCTTGTGCCTCATCCAAGCCACATGTCTGGACCACTGATTTCATCGCCCTACAATACTGAGAACTCCTTACACATAAGGTTTCATACTGTATAATTTAACCACCAATGTACTTCTTTCCTATGTCCATACATTTCCTCAGCATTCTATTTTCACACTCTTGTAACTTATGTTCTTCGTTGAAAGTAAATGGTACCATTTATCAACCACACAAAACTAGCAAAATGTGTGTGGTTCATGTGCATCCATGCGTGTAAGTATGTATGTGCCTGAGAGCGGGTGAGTGAGTGAATCAGAGGGACCTATGGCATTCTGGAAAATAGATTGGACAACTGTTTCTGAAGTGAATAAAAACAAACATTTCCTGAATCAATTCTTCTATTGAATGCAACATTAAGTAATTTCTATTTGCCACTGCTGATCCAGACACTGTTCATCTTAAAAGTTCTCATATGATCTCTCACTTGCTGTTACATTATGACTTTGTTGCAGATTTTTGTTCATAATAATATGCTCATATTTTTAGTTTTGGCTTAGCTTATATATATATATATATACAGGGTGTCCCAGGAGGAATG